TCAAAAACATACTATATGTCATATTTTAACGCCGATAAAGAAGTTTGACTTCGAAAATGTAATCCGTTGTCAAACTTCAAAGTCAAAAACATACTATATGTCATATTTTAACGCCGATAAAGAAGTTTGACTTCAAAAAGCAATATGGCGCGTAACGGAAAAATGTGACGCGTAACGCAAAAATGTTACACTAAATTTTTTTCCAACCCCGATAAAGAAGTTTCACTTCAATAACTAAACTTGTAAGTACAATAAGTATTACAATTTAACATCATTGATACTGAAATCAACATTGGAAAAGGTTGTAACTATTTGATAACAAATAGATTGTGTAAACAGGAATGAGTATATAAAAAAACAAAGGAAACTTTTCTATTGTTTCGACAAATCAACCTTTTGTATGTTTTATGATAAAAATAAATTATTATTCCTTATGTATAAATTAATAGAAACCTTATTTTATTATAATCTTAGAGTTGGAGCTAAGTCTGTACATGGAATTTCTACTTAGCAAATTCTAAAATCTTTAGCTTCCGGAAGATGGCTTACGCTATGCGCCTGGAGCCTACTACGCAAATCTAATAGTCTGTATTCTTACAGATACAGTGTTGTGTCTATTATGCCTGTTCCTACGATTATACCACTGCTAATACATAAGATCCTGTGTATTGAATCGTGTAAAAGTATTATATTTGTAATTATATCAATTACCAAGCCATCTCAGTGCATATTGAGCGTTATTTAAGGTCCGATATGGTAACCAAACTCCAAAAAAGTACATTGTTTGTTTCCATTTTTCGTCATCGTTTTTTGAAGTAGGGCGAATGGAAAAAAAAATATGGTGGATTTGAGTAGTTTATGTATCCTTTTTGAAAGATCGATACACGATTTAAATAACTTCGCTTGATAGGAAAAAAATCCAAACATAGCCAATTTTTGACACTTTAAATTCATTTTATAACGAAAATGAATATAGAACATGATTTTAAAATTTACACGATATATTTTTTCGCAAGCCACGTAATCCATTTTAAAAAAAATTATAAAATCACATTAATTTAATGTTTTACATAAATAATTGTTATTACGGGCCGGCGCGCCTCAGTGCTCCAGCTCTCCGCAGTCCACCCCGAGTCACTGACACAGCAATTCATGCTGGCTTTATGGCATTTATTTTACTACCACTGTGGAAACAGATCCACTGAAGAACTTCCGAACTTACGACTTAGGGTCCTTCAAGCAAAGAGCCGAATTCTCAAAAGACCGGCAACACACTTGCGAGCCCTCTGTGGACTCAGTTTCCGCAAATAGACGCATATTTGTTCCGTTATAGGTTATATCGTGGAGGTATCACTTAACACCAGGTGAGCCTTCTGCCCATTTGCCGACCGTTCTATAAAGCACATTGAGCTATTGAATCATTGTTATATTAATTGTATCTCAATAGATTTTCATTACATAAAACTTTGTTATAATTTATTCAAGGAACCACATATTTATATTCCTAATTATAATGGTATTTCAATCCAAGGATTTGTCAAGTAGGTGATAAGCGGTATCTCACGAGAGGAGGCGCGTCAGTTATGTAATCTCCTAATGTGATTAGCACCTAATCCACACTCATTAATTTGATGAAAACCTCACGTTATCTGCAAAAACGTCTTCAAAGAGATGACATGAAGATTCCATGCTTTTACGATAATCAATTTTTTAACTTCCGCAACTTGGTCACTTTGTTTGTTGCTACCGTTACGACAAATATACAAGTATGTTTCTTGATGGATTGAAATATTTCTGTGATTTTTTTTTTATAGAACAGGGGGCAAATGGTCAGGAAGCTCACCTGATGTTAAGTGATAGCCCATGGACACTCTCAATGCCAGAGGGCTCACGAATGCGTTGCCGGCCTTTTGAAAATTGGTGCGCTCTTTTCTTGAAGGACCCTAAGTCGAATTGGTTTGGAAATACTTCAGTGGGCAGCTGGTTCCACAAAGTGGTGGTGAGCGGCCAAAACTGCTTTAAAAACGCTCAGTTGTGGAACGACGCACGTCGAGGTGATACGGGTGGAATTTCGTATTCTGCCTCGACGTACGTTGATGAAAAAAAAATTTCTATAAAAAAAAAACTTATGTATGCATGCTTTTATATTTAATTTAATTAGTAACCAATATTCATAATGCTTAGAAGATTTGTTGTCTCTTACTAAGTGCCACATAATATTTATCAAAAATATAACCATTAAAAAAAATATATTTTGTCTACTTTAAACAACTTGACCCGATTCGTTAAATATTGAGGTGCAAGGTCGTTTAATGTGATTGACAATAATGGGCAGGCTCCCCTGCGAATCTATTCATAATGTCCATGCATAATAGGGGCACTTTATATGTTACAGCTAAACGATGAATTTAGTTCCATAAAGTACAAATTTGTGAACTGTAGTACTCACTACACTGGCTGAGACCCAAAATGTGTCTTTAAAGCCTAAGACTTTCACTTGCTGGAGGCTCTACTCTGTAGATCCAGCAGTACCTGGGCCAGCATACTTGCCTTCACTGAGGTCCTTTACGCGATCTATAGTTTACTGGAAATAGAACAACAAATTAAAAAACATGTTAAGTAATATACGCTTATCTTAAATGTTTAAATTAGATAATTAGACGTAACAACATTTTATCTTCACCAAATCTGTTAATTCCTTAAGCCATTACGATTGTTAAGATTTATTCAGTAAATAATGGAGACAAAGTACATATTTTCATTAATATTTCAAGTGAACAGAAATGTTTTTAAGTGAAACGCAATTTGTATTTCATTAAAAAACGTTTATGTTTATAATAAATGTTACAACAGCTATACAGTTATCTAAAAACGTCAGTATTGTTCAGCCATAATAAATATATTTGTACTTTGTTTATAATAAATATATTTTCGTTAAATTCATTTTAATCTCTTGGTAATACAAAACCAATCAAGACAAATAATAAAATATTGATAATTTGATACTTTTCAGTGCATTATGGAGTCGGGTATATTTTTAAAGGTGTTTATTAATTATAATCATATGTGTCCTTTATTGGTTTACAACTAATAAAATTAAAACCGATTATTTTATTATTTTATTGCTACATGATCCCTAAGTAGCATTGGTTTATTTTCAAACATGAAAAAAAATATAACGAGCCAAGGCTGTACATTTTGCCCACTCAGGCTTCCTAGTTTTATAATCTATTATTCCTACTAGTGCCAAGTCTAATTCATATTAAAATAAAATTTTATTATGTAGTGCCTGCTGTAAGTTTGATCACTTATAACATGAGATTTCTAAATCGTATACCCCCAGTATAGCGACAGGACTCTCTTCACTGTAAAGTATTCGTATTTAAAAACTGTATCATGGGAGTTCACACTACCAGACAGACATCTCTCTTTTTGATTGCACTTATTATATAGCAATTAAATAATAGTTATTATTTCGCTCATATTCTATAACGCGAGTGATAAATATAGAGTAAATTCACATTATTCTATTATTTCGAACCCCTGATGATCCAGGAAACGTACATATATATTCGGGATAGGCCGTCTCGACTTCACACAGCCACTCCATTATATTATGTATATTGCGATGACTAAAAATAAAGTATATTATTTTATTATAATATATTTATTATAAAAATATAGTTAGTAGACCATAGATAATATAATAAATATTAAATCCTGATAACCATACTTCAATCAGTGTTCTTAAAGGAAAAATATCTATCTATTATGACCTAGGCATAATAGATAGATGATGATAAATAAACGTCAGTAATAAAAATAATGCTTCTTAATTTACATTTTCTGTTCTCAAATCAATGGGCATAGAACGGACGAGATGAATTGCAATAAACTCTCCGTCATTGGAACAAAATATTTGTAAGCACCTGCAACCATTACATCATGCTCCTCGCCACATGTTGAAGCAGTTAATTATTGTAATTAATAAAAAAAAATAAGAAAACCAAACGTTTCACCTCTATCAGCAAGGCACGGTGGAATAGGAGCATGCACTTACATTAGGCTGAATTTAGTGTCACGCCGACCGCACGCGCACCGTCGGCGCTGATGGTCGAGATATATGAACTTCTAGAAAGCGTATTTTGAATGACGCGTAGCTATAAGCGCACACGGTGGTCAGCGCGATGGCTGCGCGGCCGTACGCGCCGCGGGGGGGCGCCCCCCCCGTAGCTGTCAGCCTGACGATCGCCGAGCGCCTCTGCATTTTGGTCTTCGTAGTACAGTAAGGCGGTCCAGTACAATAAAAGAACCTGCTTAGCGCTGACGAACAAAAGCACGGTGAGCGTGAGACTAAATTCAGCCTTACTGTGCAAACAACACGCAAACACATAGGTCAATAAATCAAGGTGAATTAATTGAATATATCTGAAATCCTTTAACATACAAAAACCACTTATATAATGAGAATAATTGATACTGAGAAAGAATTGCTAAAAATATTGTATTTCACGTGACTACATAATTATGTCTTTTAGATGCAGCTCCGAGTGTGCAATTCGAGATATATTGTATTGCAGGTGACTTGTCGTCGTCGTAGCAAAGATAATGACGGTGAAGATATGAGATATTTCTGAAGTAGTAAATGCGAATTAGACAATATAGTTTTATTTTTGTAAGCGTAAAATATATTTTTTTAGCATTGTTTGTATTTTTGTATAAACATTAATATCATAATTTATAACAAAAACGTGGTTTTCATGTCATGAAGTCTATGAAAGCCTATTGACACCTGCGACCTGTGTTGCCGGCCTATTAGGGAATGGTACGCTCTTTTTCTTGAACGCTCGTCGGATATGTTTAAAAATATCTAGAGATATCAGTAGACTGACAGCTGGTTCCATAAAGTGGTGGTGCGCGGCAGAAAGTGCCTAAAAAAGTACTGTGAAGTACCAGGCGTCGAAAGGATCGAATTTTGCATTCTACCTCGGCGTCCGATGATGGAAGATATTAGTCGGAACAAGTCTTCTGAGCCCTCCGTGCGATACATGGGTTGGAAGATAATGAGAGAACCAACTTCTCAACGCAAAGCCAAAGGATCAAGCGGATCGGAAAGAGCAGGGCCAACGATTGGAGCTGGTACTGTTGAGCTCCCACCCAGAGGTGTGAACAGTATGTCCATGTTGTCAGAATTTTCTCTTCATACAGTTGCAAGCGGTGAACCATTAGCTTACTGAATAGTTGTACCAATTACAAACTTCGATATTACTTAAGAGGATATAACTCTATATTTTTGCGAATTATTACCAAGACGTGACGTGACGTGTCCGTTTTTAGATGTGGCTTGATAATAAAATTATGCCTACTTGTTAAATACTGTTGATAAGTCTATCTAGGATTAACAGAAATTGTTTATTAAATAAAACCCCGCGTTGATTTTTGGTAACTCTTGTTCAATCAAATCAAAATCAAAATACGTTTATTCAATTTACTAAGATCTTATAATGAACAACTTTACAAAATTCACGAAAGAGCAAGACTACGCCAATTAATAATTGAACACTTTCCTTAAACGATTCGTGTTGAAATCAAAAAAATTTTCCAATAATCATTGTTGTCAAAACACGTTGTTTGACATCCTGTAACATTCATTAAGGCAAAAAATAACAAATCAATTATCAAATAATAATTAACTTTTATTTAATAGTTAATTGTTGTCTTAATTTTTGTACTCAGGGAAAATGAACGTAGTTTTTTTTATAGAAGATTTATTTTGTAGACAAATCCAAAAAAAATATATGCATTTCTTGAACCTAAGTTATGATGATTTGAAAATACATTAACGGGTAGCTTTAAATAATAGTAGCACTTGTCAAATAATGCCAAAATGCTGAGTTTTGGAACGAGGGGCACCAAATTGTTACCGGTGTAATTGTGAACTCCAGGTACACTATACACGGCTATTGCGAAGGTCAACGAATTGTAAGTGCCCTATTTCCCATAAAATATTACAGTATTTTACTATATTAAAATGTATAAAATAATTCTTACTGAAACTGCGTCGTTTTCCACGAAATTTCGACCGTAGCGTGGTATATAAACTGGTTGATAAAATGACAATAACAAACCTGTAGTTCCTTAGATTAAAGCGTTAAGCACTAAAACCTCACTGGCACAATCTTCTGCAATTACTAGACTACTGCTTTTAACCGTATCATCTCCAAAATCCAGTATCTGTTTTATATTCTGTCTAAGAAAGTATGACCATATCTCTGCGTTCTGTAAGCATCTAGGCTGGTTCTCATAACTCTATCTTTCTTGGCGAAACCTTTAAGGTATCTGCAGTGAGGCTATGGAATAGACTTCCCGTTCCTTCTAGTTACCCCACTTTCTTTAAATATCTACTGTACAAACATTACCTGTTCACATCGTATCCCTAACTTTCGCACTAATTGATGTGAAACTGATATAGAATTATCGTGATTCATGTGCACTGTTACTTTTTCATGTGTTTATTTTTTGAGTTTTGTCAGTTTTTATTTTTATTGCACTTATTGCTTACCTTATCCAAAAAAAATTTCTCACAGTGGTTGCCAGTTGCCCTCTTTTTTATTTAATTATGTCAATTGTAGTATTTATATATGCAACGAAGTGTTACTAAATTAATTAATTAAAACGTAACGTGAGTATATATTTCGTCAAACTAAAGTTACTTATGTTCCAGCGCATGTTACTATAATATGGTAACATTCATTACAATAGATTAGTTAACGAAATAAAATATATAAAATAAATAAATAAATAAAATACGATGACAAGTCAATCTTTTGTATAAACAATACGTATAAAACGCTTTCGTCCACTTCATATTATATTTACAATTAGTTGTGGATGCGATTAATCAAAATCATATTAATAGCAGTGTTAGTGGTTGCGCGTGCGCCTATCAACACGGAGAATTTTCTTTCTTCGGGTTTGAACGATAGATAGTAATTCCAATGCCAATTCTTAGACTTACTGTACTTGCATAAAAAAACATAAGAATCGGTCGAATCGTTTCGGAAGAGTATGGTAACGAACATTGTGACACGAGAATTTCATATACATATATAGAGATAAACACTACAATACATATTAATCACTAATAATCCATAGTGAATGTTTTTAATATTTTTTTTTTTGTTTTTAATTAAAACGCTTCCGACTCCATGATCCATTTTAACCAATTTCTTTTATTTTTTTATTTTTTATTATAACAATTCTTTTTTTACATTTTTAATTACATTTAAAATAAAAAACAAAATTAAATCTGTAAAATGGCGATAATTGCGTTTTAATCTGTAACATTGTTTCTCGTTTAATGATTCGGTGAATACAAGACAATGGAGTCAGTAAATATTATTGTTACATTTCAAAGTACGGATTCAGTTTCTACACTTAGACGCACATTTGGTCCGTTGTACGTTGTACGTACTAAGATTTTTAATTGATTATAATTGTAGAGTTTTTACTAAACATCGCATTTTGCTAATCTAGCCGCGACATACCATTTGACGGATGTGTGTGAAGTGTCATATGGAATAGCAATTCAGTCGTTACGTGAGTGCAAAAGTGGTTATACTGTAACATTTGCTCGTATTAGTATTTCTTAGTTTGAAAACGTCGAATTATATTTTTATATTAAATGTGTGTTTTAAAAAATTGATTTTAGTTACAGAAGGTAATTATTATTTGTTTTGTATTATGATTTGAATTTAAAATTGTACCGAAAAAAAAGAAAGTTGACTTGACACTTTAATTATTAGCTAATTACTAAAGTGTTTAGTATTAACAATTTTCTTAACCTACAAAATAATAAAAAAATAATAAAAAGAAAATTAAAACAACTTTAAAAATCAGTAAATTAAAAATTTAATTATTTAATTTTAAGTGTTTATACAATAGTCAGGACAGTGATTAAATTTTAAAAATATGTTTTTTATTTTCTTCGGATTTTGTTGTACTTCTATTTATGCAAAAATGGACACTAGAATTATTCATTTAAATCTAAATTTTTCGAGTCTAACAGCTGGACTTTTCACAATGTTTTCTTCATCTTAAGCATAAAAAACAATTAGTACATATTCGCGAACCGACACAACTAGAATAAAACTGTTTCAGGTTTCATAATTATAAAAAATAATAACGCAAAGTACACGATTGCTTGTTAAAAATTAATTTCCCCAATGTTAAATTACTGTTATTGTGTGCTTCCTACTTAACTTTCCAACAATTAACGGCGTTTTCAGAAAAGTAATTTAACTCTATTAAATGTTTTAATCGAATATAAAAGAACAATTACGATGTTAAATATACATTTTGATTACTTTAAAGGGTAGCGGAGTTTCCATCCGATTAATATTTTAATTGAAAGGGTACTTTTAAAAATATTTATCGTTTATGACTTTGTTTTATGACACCAGTGGCGCGCTTTAAGGTCTGGGCCTCATGTACCTGTTTTGTGATCATTTATTTTTAACGACAAGAAGATCAAAAAAATAAAATGTGTTTATTATGGAACATAAGATACAGGTATCACATACTTCACGTCATTAAATTTGAATAGGTACTCGGCAAAGAAGACAGAGGATTGTAGGTCGAGAGAAAAAGCCGGCGTAAAAAACTGTCGGTACTCTTTTAAAATAGCAAATCATCAAAAAAACACTTATTTTAAAACAAATATCGCAAATTAATTAGAATTAGGCTGTCCAGCACTAGTCCCAGGCCCTTTTATCAACTAGATAATCGTTAACTTTATAGTAAGCATTTTACACAGCTTTTCTTTAATATATTCCTGAAATTTATTAAAAGGCAGAGATAAAAGAGCCTCTGGGATTTTATTTAAGAAGAGGTCAATAGCCTTTTGTGTCAGACACACGCTGTAAATAGGGTTTAAGGCATGCCGGTTTCCTCACGATGTTTTCCTTCACCGTACAAGCGAGTGTTAAATGCAACATATCTAAAATAATTTACTGTATTCGATCAATAAGTTACACACAGTTACCTGTTTTAGATATGTATTATGTCTTAATAAATAATATAATATATATAAATAATAAAAAATATGCTACGGGTAACCTTTTCGCTTAATATTAACGTTCTATTTAAAAAAGATCCCTTAAAGGCGGGATTATTTCAATACTGCTTCTGTAAGCGGATATGTTGTATAATTGAGTCTCAAATTACACTTCAAAATCGATCTTGTTCAGTTTTTAATTCGACATTTAAACGATGCCCAAACAACACGCTTGTTATCGCAATTTTCAGCCTGAGCACGGGTGATGCGAATTTTTCAATTGTTCGTTTCAAAGCATGAGTTTCGAACTCCAAACTCGCATGAATGATTGATGAACATGCCATACTTTAGCTCTTATTGCTATGCATTTAAGGACTGACATTACTTATACCAGGATTTCAGACAGAAAGTACATAAAGGAATTCGTTTGATATCTTTGGTATTGTGCAGTGTTAGCCTAGTAGCTCAACGTGTGACTATCAACTGAGACCGTGCCTTCAAATCCATGGATTCAAGACATGGATTCGTCCATTTATGTGCGCTACTAATGCGCATATGCTGTAGTAACATAAGGAAACCCGTACGTCTAGGACCCACTGTTTAGGCAAAAACAACACTGAGATCTTGAGTAATACAGACAACTGAGATTTAAAGGCGCCTATTTTAAATAAAATATATAATATATTATGTATATCTCTACCCTATACTGTTTTTAAAGGGAAGGAGGTTAGGTTTTTAAAAGCACAGTGATTCTATAATACGGTAGATTTCTTAAGATATAGGATTTTGTGATACACATAAATTTAATTGCTTTTAATTATATTATTTGCATGTTGATTTGTCTGATTAGTTCTTTGTAATTCGTGGCAAATAAAGATCTCTAAGAGACTCGTAATCGTAAATAAAAGTGGTCCTGTACAAACAAACATAGAGTTTCTGTTTAACTCAAATCTATATTTTAACTATACATTTCATGACGTATGAACATACAGTGCATACAAAATGTTATATGTATAATGTATATAATAAAGAACGAAAACAATTTACCACTAAATACTGATAATAATACATTTGATTATACTATTTATTATATACAGCCCAGGGTTTTATATACAGCCTACGGTTTAAGTGACTGCCATATGTCAAAATTGAATGCTCTTCTACTTTATTTCAAGGAAATAA